CACACATACACACACGCCATACTTACAAACTACACTATACTCACAATACTAAAACACACACATACACACACGCACATCACACACATACACAAACCACAAACACATACTCAAACCACAAACAATCACAGACTCATTGGCACTGCTACGACACACACAAACACACGCACACATAAACACACACACACATAAACACACACACACATAAACACACACACACACACACACACACCCTAATATACTCAATCACTGATACATTAACCACATACACATACTTACACACAAACCATACCACACTCGCAATACTCAAACACACACACAATTACACACACACAATCCTGCACCCACACACATGCACTCACACACACACACACTTGTCATCGACATATTAACCACACACACACATACACACACGCCATACTTACAAACTACACTATACTCACAATACTAAAACACACACATACACACACGCACATCACACACATACACAAACCACAAACACATACTCAAACCACAAACAATCACAGACTCATTGGCACTGCTACGACACACACAAACACACGCACACTAGCATACTTACTCACTGACACATTAGCCACATACACACACACTACGTACACACAAACCATACCACAATCACAACACTCAAACGATTCCAAGTTCCCACAAATTTAGGGGGCCCCCTAAGACAATATGAAGGGCGCGAATCACCACCCGAAAAAAGAAAATGATTGAAGGAATGAGTGAATAAATGAATGAATGAGTGAGTGAATGAATAAATGAGTGAATGAATGAATGAGTGAATGAATGAATGAGTGAATAATTGAATGACTGAGTGAATGATTGAATGAATGAGGGAATTAATGAATGAATGAATGAATGAATGAATGAATAAGTGAATGAATGAATGGGTGAATGAATGAATGAATGAGTGAATAAATGAATGAATTAATGAATGAATGAGTGAATGAATAAATGAGTGAACGAACGAATGAATGAATGAGTGAATGAATGAATAAATAAATGAATGAATGAGTGAACGAATAAATGAACGAATGAGTGATTGAATGAATGAATGAATGGGTGAATGAATGAATGAATGAATGAATGAGTGAATAAATTATTGAATGAATGAATGAGTGAGTGAGTGAGTGGATGAATGAACAAATGAATGAGTGAATGAATAAACGAATGAGTGAATGAATGAATGAATGAATGAATGAACGAATGAATGAATGAGTGAGTGAATGAATGAATGAATGAGTGAATGAATAAATGAATGAATGAGTGAATGAATGAATGAATGAGTGAATGAATGAATGAGTGAATGAATTAATGAATGTATAGACAATATTATAGGCAGTAATAACCTGGAGAGAAAAAAAACATCTTAAATCTAAGGAAGAACTTCTAGACATGCTGAGAGATGCTTGATATTAAATAGCAAGTCGTTTCAGAAAAGACGTGAAATGTTCAAGCTGTTGCTTGGTGCTAAAGAGGTTACAAGTCATTTTAGTCTGAATATTGTGTACATATTTCCTATATGTTCTGTTTCTATATTAAAGGAATATTACAAAAGTAATGACCCTGCACTTGCTCCATATCTTTTAGATAGATAGATTTGTGCAAAGGTCATAGACTCTCAAAGCTGGCGGTGGCTTAAGACTTTTGCGCGGTACTGTATATTTACACTTTACACAAGTAAATAAATAGACTTAACAATGGGGTAAAAATCTACACAGATTGGGTCTTGCGATGTCCTTATAAGTCACCTTCTCCTTGTAATACATGTGTCATACTTATGTCATTACACAAATTTGAGTCCTGTTGTGTCATATACACACACAAAATCCTGCCATATTTCAGAGCGCATCCCATGGGTTCAGATTCCCTGCGTCAAATGGCAGGAATTCATTTTGCTGTCTGAATATGAAAAAGCGACTGCCGTTTAAAGCCACTTCAGACGTGTCAGTAAAACAAAAGAAGGCCAGCGACAGACTAATGGGATGCCTTGTAATCAAAGCCACAGTGTCAAAACTGCTCTTATATTGTTATGTCACATGTTTGAGCTCGTGTGATGCGTGAACTCAGGAAATAAAAAAAACAACATCTGTTATCAGCCAAATCAAACAGTACGAGTGGAGTATGAGTCATCACAGCAACACTTCTAAAGAACTGTTGCATTCCCTATTTCGGTCACAGCAACAAATAACAGACCAGGCAAAACAGAAATGAACAGTTAACAAGAACTAATAACTGAGCTGCTCAGAAGAATAATGAGAGTAATTAGAAAATTAATCATGCAGTGGCTTGTTCTGTGTACATATGCAGGAGAAAGAAATCTGAAGAAACTATTTTTAGTCGTACTTATTTTTTTTCTTAAAGAAGGTTCAAGCTGTGGTAAAATCAACATGGACTCTAATGGCTTTCATAGTGGATGCTTCTGGCTTTATTGTGACTCATTTAAAATGATTCTCACACAACTTTAGATGGCATAAGAAATAGTGCGCATACAGTGCTCAGCATAATGGAATGCAGTAGAATGTACTTGTCAAAGTAGCAGCAGCAGTAATAATAATAATAATTCTTAATAATAATTCTTCCATGTTTAAAATTAAACCAGAATAATTCATAAAGTCCTCAATAATGTCCTCCTTCATATTGATAAACTCTATGTTTAACTTATGCTAAATTGAAGATATTTAATCATTTCTGATAACTATCATTTATTGTTTACATTAAACAATTAAAATAAAATAAAATTCAGAATTTATAATAAAATAAAATTAATTAATATTATTATTATTAATACTATCTAACTGTTCTAACTATTATGAAAAATATTATAAATAAATAACACATTAATTATTATTATTATTGTAATATTGATAGCAACAACATTAATAATAATAATAATAATAATAATAATAATTATTATTATTATTATTATTATTATTATCACCATTATTATTATAAGCATCATTACTATTATTATTAATAATAAGTATTATTTTTATTTTTAATTCATTCATTCATTTTCTTGTTGGCTCAGTCCCTTTATTAATCCGGGGTCGCCACAGCGGAGTGAACCGGCAACTTATCCAGCAGGTTTTTGCGCAGCAGATGCCCTTCCAGCTGCAACCCATCTCTGGGAAACATACACACACACACACACACACTATGGACAAATTAGCCTACCCAATTCACCTGCACCGCATGTCCTTGGACTGTGGGGGAAACCGGAGCAACCGGAGGAAACCCACGCGAACGCAGGGAGAACATGCAAACTCCTCAGAAACGCCATCTGAGCCGAGTTTCGAGCCAGCGACCCAGCGACCTTCTTGCTGTGAGGCGACAGCACTACCTACTGAGCCACTATGTCACCTTATTTTTATTTTTATTATAAATAAATAAAAAAATATAATATGCTTGTATAATTTGTTTTCCTTTCTATGAAGGGACGTTATTATTGCTATTTCTGCTATATTAAAACAATTATAATTATTGTTGTTGTTCTTATGTTAATATTTATAACATGATTAACAATAATAATATTAATAATATATTTTTATTTATTATTATTGTTGTTAATATTATAAAATAAAACAACAATACTAATAATGATGATATGCAGGACATTACGGTGGCACAGTAGGTAGAAACGATCACCTCACAGCACGATGGTTGCTGGTTCAAGCCTCGGCTGGTTGAGTTGGCGGTTCTGTGTGGAGTTTGCATGTTCTCCCCGTGTTCATGTGGGCTTACTCCCGGTGCTCCAGTTTCCCCCACAGTCTAAAGAAATGTGCTTTAGGTGAATTGAGTAAGCTAAATTGTCAGTAGTGTATGTGCGTGAAGGAGAGATTATGGATGTTTCCCAGTGTTAAGTTGCAGCTGGTAGAGCATCCGCTGTGCAAACAATTGCAGGATAAGTTGGTGGTTCATTCCGCTGTGGCGACCCCTGATTAATAAAGAGACTAAGCTGAAAAGAAAATGAATATCTAAATAATAACTATTATTATTATTATTATTATTAAATATAATTATTTTATCATAAACAAATTATTAAAATCATAACAAATTATTATAATATACATGTATAATTTTTTTTCCTTTTTATAAAGGGATAATATTGTTATTATTGCTACTATTTCCATTACTACTAAGCTATATTAAAACATTATTATTATTATTGTTGTTGTTGTTGTTATGTTAATATTTATAATAAAATAATTAAAATTTATAAAAATAATAGTAATAATAATAATATAATTTTTTATTTGTTATAATTACTACTATTACTACAATTAAGCTATATTAAAATGAAAAATTATTATTATTATTATTTTAATTATTGTTGTTGTTGTTAAGTTAATATTTATAATAAAATAATTTAAATTAATTTAAAAATAGTAATAATAATAATATAATTTTTATTTGTTATTATTACTACTATTACTACAATTAAGCTATATTAAAATAAAAAAATATTATTATTATTATTATTATTATTATTATTATTATTGTTATGTAAATATTTATTATTAAATAATTAAAATTAATTAGAAAAATAGTAATATTAATAATATAATATTTGTTTGTTATTATTACTACTATTACTACAATTAAGCTATATTAAAATGAAAAAATATTATTATTATTATTAACTATGCAGATTCGTTTGTTGCTGCTCAAATATTTTATATTGCGATGGTTGTGTTTTAATTAAGACAGGAGTAAAGATGATTAAAATTGACCTTTAAATCACAAGAATAAAAGTAAAACTGTATTAAAAACTTATTTGAAATAGAAATAATGCTTCAGAATACTACGGTTTGTCTCTCTGATCAAATAAACACAGGCTGCTTGGCCTACGATATGTCTGTCAACAGCACACACTGCACAAAAATGGATTTTACAGCCGTCTTTATGTGCAAACAATATTTTGAACGCAAAATAACAGTCCAGCAAAAGGCTAATGGTGCATGTTTGTGTTGTGGACTCACGGATGCAGGTGCAGCTCAGTCTGTCTGATCAGCCCAGTTCAGTCACGGTTGAGCTCATCACTGTGTTTCTGCCTTCTGGCTCCGTTATGAGTCACACGACCTCGGAAAATCTGACCAATGGCAGTGCAGCAGCAGGAGAACCTCTCGCACTTACTCAGCGGCGTGCGCTTCTGTTTGGCCGCTGTCCAAGGTGCTGAAAACACAAACGCTGAAAGACAGAACAATGCTGACGTAAACACACAAAGATCAACATCACGCACTATAATAACTCAGAGGGAAGAGAAAAACTGTAGCCTGACTTCAAGAAGAACAATCAATATAGGCTGACATCTGTTTTTGCTGGTATTTCGGTTACTAGCAGTGTGTTGTTAGGGTGTTTTGAGTGTTGTTAGATTGCTGGGAGATTTCTAGGATTTTTTTAATGGTTTTCAGAATGTTGCTAGGGTGGTTTGGATTACTTTCAGGGTGTTGTTAAGGTGTTTTGTATGCTGTCTGATGATTGTTGTTGGAAGGGTTGTTGTCATAAGGTGTTTGGTATTACTTTCTGAGTGTTGCTAGGGTGTTTTGGATGACATTAAGAGTTTTTAGGGCATTTTGTATCTTGTCAGATTATTGGGTGATTGATAGGGTGATTTTTATGATATTCAGAGTGTTCTTAAGGCGTTTTGTAAGTTGTCAAAATGTTGTTGGGAGATTGCTAGGGTGTTTTGTATGGCGCCGAGAGTGTTTCTAGGGTGTTTTGTATGCTGTCAGATTATTGGGAGATTGGCTTTGCTGTTTTGTACAACTTTCAGAGTGCTGCTTTGAAAAAGGTGTTTTGTACGATGTCTGATTGTTGTTGTTTGAAGATTGCTAAGGTGTTTTGGTTGACGTTCAGAGTGTTGCTAGGGTGTTTTTGCTTATTTTTAGAGAGTTGCTATGGTGTTTTGATGCTGTCAGATTGTTGTTGCGAGATCTCTAGCGTGTTTTGGATGACATTAAAAGTGTTGCTAAGGTGTTTTGTACGATGTCTGATTGTTGTTGGGAAATTGCTAGGGTGTTTTGTAAGACATTGTGAGTGCTGCTAGGACGTTTTGTATGTTGTCAGATTATTGGGTGATTTATAGGGTGATTTTTATGACATTCAGAGTGTTGTTAGGGTGCTTTGTATGGATTCATAGGGTTTTATAGGGATTTATAGGGTTTCTAGGGTGTTTTGTATGCTGTCGATTGTTGGGAGATTGCTAGGGTGTTTTGTACAACTTTCAGAGTGCTGCTAAGGTGTTTTGTATGATGTCTGATTGTTGTTGGAAGATTGCTTAGGTGTTTTGGTAGATGTTCAGGGTGTTGCTAGGGTGTTTTGGATTATTTATTTCTTTTGACATTCAGAGTGTTGTTAGGGTGCTTTGTATGTTGTCAGAATGTTGTTGGGAGATTGCTGGGGTGTTTTGTATGAAATACAGTGTTTCTAGGGTGTTTTGTATGTTGTCAGATTGTTGGGAGATTGTTTTGCTGTTTTGTACAACTTTCAGAGTGCTGCTAAGGTGTTTTGTATGATGTCTGATTGTTGTTGGAAGATTGCTATGGTGTTTTGGTTGACGTTCAGAGTGTTGATTTTTATGACATTCAGAGTGTTGTTAGGGTGCTTTGTATGTTGTCAGAATGTTGTTGGGAGATTGCTGGGGTGTTTTGTATGATATTCAGAGTGTCGCTAAGCTGATTTGTATGTTTTCAGATTGTTGTTAGGAGATCGCTAGCATGTTTTTTGACTTTCAGAGTGTTGCTGGGATGTTTTGCTAAGTAGACTTGTTTATTACTAATCATAAACAATAATAATGGCAATTAAAAAACATTGCTTTACATTATTTAATAATCTTTCTAATATGGAACTTATTATAACATGTGAATTAACTATATTGACAAAAGTTTTGAAAGATCCATATAAAATCATGCCCTAAGGTGTGCAAGCTGCTTCTACAAATATTTGTGAAAGAATGGGTCACTCTCAGGAGCTCAGTCAATTTAAGCATGTTATTGTGATTTGTTGTCACGTGTGCAATACATCTATTTATGAAATTCCCTCATTACTAAATATTCCACAGAATATATCAAAGTAGAAGTTGAACTTGCTCATGTATTAGTTGAATGCTTATTTTGCTGGTGCACATTGTTATTCTTTAGGTGAACAAATAAACTGTGCAAGTTAATCCACTGGCTATTAATTTTCTTGCTGAACTACTGCTTTAACAGGGATTCCAGCACTCTTACCCTACACAAATAATAAATCTGTGATCTTTCATGTGAATCCAGAAATGTGCACACAGATGCTGAAGGTGCTGATCTGCAGTGGTCAGTGATCTCTGAAGGACTGTCTCTGACACGAGGCTAATGAAGCATGTGTGTTCATGCCTCGCAGATCAGAGGAGCTCATCTAACACACACACACTCATATTGAGTTTTCATTTTTTTTATGGGGACATCGCAAGGACGTAATGATTCTTATACTGTACAGAGTGTACTGTACCTCCTCTTCCCACAACCCTACCCCTAATCCCCTAATCTAAGAGATGAAACATTGTCCCCACACAATCCAAAAATAGTGCTATTGCTATATTTGAGGGGACATTTGGTCCCTACAATGTAGTCAATACCAGGATTACACACACACAGTTGAATATATGAGTTTACAAAGACTACAGGGACTCTCAATAGATGTAATGTGTTTTATACCGTAAAAACACTAATGATATGGCCTTACCATACCCTACCCCTACCCATAAACCCAACCCAGTGAAAATCTGGCAAATTCTCAAAGTCAAAAGACACTGTTACTTATACTTTAAGTGTTTTGAATTGTAAGGACACAGGTCATGTCCCTGTAAACCACCTTAATATAGTGCAACTACTTCTTATCCATGTCATTATGCAATTCTGTTTCCCTGTAAACCACATAAACCTGCACACACACATACACAAACAGCTTCTCTCCAGCCCACTCACAATGTTAAATTCAAGCAGGTGAGCCCCGCAGCAAACGTGTTTACCCAGCCTGTGACGCACATCAGAGCTGGAGAGAAGGAGAGCGAGTCGCTGCGGATGGAGTGAGGAGGAGGAGACAAAAGGGAAAAGGAAAGAGAAAGAGCGAGATGCTGTGAAAGCCAACACACTGATCCATGAAACAGGATACAGAGAGCACAGGTGCGGAGTTCAAGTCATAAATTAAACAGTCCTTTTTCTCATGCACCTCTCTCTCTCTCTCTCTCTCTCCCCAAAACCAAAGCCTGTTTACACCAAGAATTTTAAAAATCCTTATTGGCAAATGTTGAACTTTTAAAGGGGGTTGTATCAATAGGACCCTATGATTTCTGCAATGCGGAAAATGTGGACAGAATTACAGAATTTAGTATTTAGACTTAGCTAATTAATTCATTTGTATAGAGCTTTTCACAATATTTTTTTCAAAACAGCTTCACAAAAGGTGCACATTATTGCATTACAATCAAATTAAGTTAAAGTAACAATCAAATATAAATGTATACATATCTATATAAATTTATATAAATTTATATATATATATATATATATATATATATATATATATATATATATATATATATATATATATATATATATATATAGTAACAATATATATTTCTAATATATATTTCTAATATAATATTTCTAATATATATTTATATATATATATATATATATATATAGAGAGAGAGAGAGAGAGAGAGAGAGAGAGAGAGAGAGAGAGAGAGAGAGAGAGAGATTTTTTTGATTTTACAAATCCTTTTATTAACAAGCAATTATTTAACAATTGATTTACAGCTCAAATCAATTCATTTATAAAAAACAGCTCTTCATTAATGACAGAACACAAGCCATCATCGCAACACCATTCAATTTTAAACACATTAATTGCTTTCATCATTTTATAGTAATTAAAATCAACAATAATTCTTGATTTTACTAGGTTTTTAAAAACTACTACAATGTTTTTACCATTCCTCTTTTCTATTTCATTTTTTCTTGTAATATAAATAGCTGATTTTGCTTGACCAAAAATAAAATTCAATAATTGACATTTATATTTGTTTTGTCTTTTATATTTAAAACCTAATATAAAACATTGTTTCGTAAATAAAAAACCAAGTAAAGAAACTAAAACATTTAAAAGATCAAACAGAGGAGCAAGTCTTTTACAATACATAAAACAGTGAAAAATTGTTTCCCTTTCTAAACAAAACGGACATTGATCACTCACACTAGAATTTATTTTAGTCACAAATGCATTAACAGCTATAGCACCGTGTAAAATTCTCCACTGCAAATCCCCCGATCTTTTATTCAATGGTGGTTTATACAATATTCTCCATTCTGGTTTTTCTTCTTCTACTAAACACAGTTTATCTCTCCACACAGTGTCAGATCTCTCTTTTAAAGTACACTTATTATTTAGTTTCACAATATTTTTATAAAGCACTTTCCCTTTAACTGTACTAAAATCAACATTCCCATTTTCCTTAAAACATAACAATGGACTATTAATCCCAGAATTTTCAATCTTAGGTGTAAGTCTAATGTCTGGGAAACAATCTTGATCATTAGGGAAAATAATACCTTGACTGTAACCTTCAATTAAAATTTTTTCTTTTTCATTTAAAAAACTTTTCAAAACATTCAAAAATTTTGTAACAAACCTCACCGATCTAATTCCCATATATAAAGCAACATTTTCTGCATCTCTTAGTCCAAAACCCGCCTTGTCAACAATGTCTCTTAGTTTGGTCATTTTGTTGGAAATAAGCAATTCTTTTAGTCCTGGGGTATCATCTTTTGTTACATCAAGGCGACTGCCAAGAAGTACTGGTTCTTCAAGCAGCCAGAAAAGAGATGTTGTTGAATCTGCCTGCGAATGTTTAAAAAGTCCCCATACTTTAAAAATACTTTTGTAAAAAGAAGGTATTCCAGTCAGATCTAGATGCACATTATCTGTCAAAAAAAGTGACGCATGAAGATTCAAGCCATTTATTCCACGTAGGATGCATTGAGCTAAAGGCCTCCACACGAGATTTTCAGGCCCATACAACAACTTCTGAACGAATTGTAGTCTATATGTGGCTCCCCTGCTCACAAGATTCACCAACCCTTGGCCACCTTCATCTCTTGGCAGAAACAGAACACTTTGAGGTGTCCAGTGCAAATTGTCCCAAAAGAAGTTGA